CCCGAACCACTCCACTCCGCTCGTCTAAACTTTAAATACTTATAACTCATAAACTAATTGCCCTAAATTCAATTTTTATGTATCGAAATACTCAGAAAAATATTCTGTTTTTGAATATCAAATTAAAATTAGATGTTGTCATTCAAAAAAGTAAAAAACTTAAAAAATTAAAAGGATAAAAAATATTTAAAAATATAATTTTTTAATAAAAATATTGTTTTTTAACAACTTGAAACTATGTAAAAAAATATTTTCTTAAACATTAATACTTTTTGAAATAATGAGTGTTCTTCGATAAAAAAATCACCCTGTATATAAACTTACGTTAATGGAACTTTTAAGTTATAAGGAACCTTGGATTGCAATCGATGTAAAATCAATGCATTCCATCTCTCCGCTCAGAATCTAAAATACAAAACGTTATTGCGAATATTTACGAAGTATAATATAACTATACGTTTAAACGAATAGAAAAAAATCCCTTCCGTTTGAGTCTAGATAATATTATATATTATTATGATACTGGATAAAAACAAACAAACAAAACGCCTTTCTCGAAACTTCTGCTTGCGTGACGGTTTACACGCACATGAGTGTCAGGCGAGATTTAGTTACTTCTTACGGTGTGTAGAATTAACTTTGCCAGAGACATATTTCCATTAGGCCCGTGTGTGATGCTAGGAATACCGGGATTTACCAGACACTTTCAGATATTTTTCGTGTTGCGTTTTTTTAATCATCGAGTCGTCATATCAAAAGCTAAACTTAGGTTTGGTATCCGCTGCAATAGAACGAGCATAGTAGTGATATTGTTACAGGTTTTTGACTTATTTAATATTTAACTTTGAGAAAAAATATAAGCACTAATCGCAGGTGTAGTCTTATTTTCAATTATGGGTGGCTTACACTTAACGAAATTCTTTAGCAGTGTTCTTCGGGCCTTCACGATAAAATGTTTAAATTATTGATCGATCGTCATCCAACACTCGTCGGGATATGCTCGTCATCCTGATGATGGTAACGAAATATATTATTTCGAATACTATTTTAACACCCCACACGTGACACCCTCGAGTTTAAGAATACAACTTTTTTGAATTCCGATGAGTACCTATTATAAATGTACATGTACGACTGTACAACTACTAACATCATACGTTCTAATAAAATATTATGTCAATCTTGTAAATTTTGTCTGCCATATCTACCTTTTTGACCTAAGTAGGATTTATATAATAAATTGTTTAGAAAAAATAGAATATTATGTTTTAAGCTTACATTAATATTATGTTAAAATTTGACTACGAGTATATTTTAATAGTTTAATAAAGAATTATCACCTCTGCTACAAAAAATATTTAAAATAACATTGTTCTGAAAATCCTACAGTGAAACAAAAACTGGATTAGCGAGATTGGGAAAGGTTTTAAAGTAAATAACACTGTAATATATATTACTTACAATATTTGAAAGTAATATGTTATTACAGCGCTTCTTACTTTAAAGTTTAAACTCGTTGATTGAAAATATTATGTATTTTGATTCAACTTCTGAAAGAATCACTAATTTAAATTTAAAATCATGTCTTGATTTTTATTTATATTTATACCTTTGTAAATAATCATTAAGTCAAGTTTGTTTGTTAAAGTTTAGGTACGTAATTACTACTAATAATAATAATAATCCCATAGGTACACAATCTCGATAACTATTATAGATGAATATGCAATTTAAACTTAATAATAATACTTATCATTATATTTACAGAAACAATCATGAACGCATCTATATTATATTATATTTAATTTGTTCAATAATTTATAAAATGAAACATTAATTCTAATTTAGTTGAATTTCATGGGGATTTATTAGCACCGTGTACTGAAACTTTACAAAGCTTATGCGGACAAATACGTCAGCTACAGGCTTCATATTATATAATAATAATATTTTCGTTCAACATTCTGATATGGAGTGAATCGGAAAAACGTCAGTAATATAGTATATTGTGTGGCAAGGGCGGGATGTGAGCTATTTCAGTCGCGGGCGAAGTGTGCGGCACTAGCCCCAAGGAGAGGGCCGCTTTTCGCCCAAGACTGAAATTTCCTTCTCGCACCAGCCACACATACTATTTTTTGTCAAGCCTCAGCGTCCATCGATCAAGCTATCACGGAAAAGGCAATGCAGGCTGGGATCTATGCAACAACCATGGACCTTATACTAATAGACGGGAAAATGGGTTAAGTTCCAGCGGGACCACTTGAGTGCGCTGTTACTCAATTACTACGCACATGCGCAATAGAATTTCAGACTGGGCAATCGGTTATTGAGTTTTAACAATTGTGACTTGATAATGGTTTGATGAATAAGATACAAAAATTATATTGTTTCTGAATGAATAACATATTCATTTATTGAATATATAATTTATTATGGTAATTGTGCTTTTTTGGAAAATATTTATTTTTAATTTTGTGTTTTAATAATACACATTATATTGTATAAATATACGAATAAATATATTTTATGTTGTCATATTTAATAATTAATAAATATTTAATGAAAAATCTCTCTGTTTGATAAAAATTCCATATTTGTTAAAAAATCTAAATAGAATAATAACATCAAAATTTAATATTTTATGAAATAAATAGATTTTTTGATAAAATATCTTGGGAAAGTGGGAATTTTTTGTAGTCAGAACTTTACTAACCTAACCAGAAATAAAGTAAATAAGGATGTAAATCAAAAACTTGATATCTAAAATATAAAAGTTGAAGAGGCTTAAAAAATATTATATAAACAAATAATTTTCAAACGTTCAGTAAACACCCAAAACAGCTCCTTGGACGATCAGCACAACGACGATATTCAAACAAGCCAACTTAGAACAAGATTTGTGACATAAAGCCGCCTCAACTAACATCGAGACTGACGATAATTTTAGCAAGGTGACAGACAAATAAATTATACTTCAAATTATGCAAGTACATATTTTTTCCTAAATATGATAAGTTTTAAAAACAATTTAAAAACGGAATAATAATAATTAATACATAATTATAACAAAAAAATAGAATATATTATAATTCTGTGGTAACATTATTAAACATCTAGGTATGTGAAAAAAAGTTGTTCAATCCTGATGGAAAAAGGTCAACTTTGATGAAAAAAAGACAACTTTGATGAAAAAGGACAACTCTGATGAAAAAGATCAACTATGTTTATGTAAAGTTTGTTTAGTAAGGACCGTGGAGTAGATTTCAGTGTCTGGTTGTGCAGGTGATACTCCATACGGGTGATATGCGCAAGGCTGGGCATTAACGAGTTAATAAGTTAAAGTTAAGTTAAAAAGTTAAGTTACTTTTAACTAAGTTAAATAACGAGTTACTTTTTTTTTTAGAAGTAACTTCTAACTTAACGATTTACATTTTTCGCCATGTTATTCAGTAACTTAACGAGTTAATTAATTGTATTGGCACGTTAAGTTAATTTTTTCCCAAACCACATATTATTTAAAATTAATTACATAAAAAAAACCCGAAATATTAAATATATTTTATTAAATAATAATTTATAATAATAGTAAGTTTTTATATTGCATATTCACAGAAAATATTTTATAACTATATTATAGAGGGAAATATCATAGGGGTAACCGCGTCAAAGAAAAATATAACAATTTACTCAGTACCTAACCTATACCTAATCATTATTAATATCATTACTTATTATTAGGTATATTTTTATTCATTCATAGAATTACAATGATAACTTGGCCCATCGATGTAAATAATACCCGTAGTAGTGTGGTATTTACTATTTACCTAATTAAAGTATAATACACAAAATTAATATAAGTACCTACAGTAACTAATTTTATTACAAACATTTATTCAAATATTGTAAGACATTTTTTGATTTACTGAATTATTATGTTATTTGTTAGCTTTAAAAAAGGTAGGTAGGTAGGTAGGTATAATTGTTAATTTTATTTAAAAAAAAAAGTAACTTATTTTTAACTAAGTTAAGTTACTTTTATTTTCTAAGTAACTTGTAACTTTTACAAGTTAAAAAAAAAATGAAGTTAACTTTTAACTTTAAGCTTAACTTACATTTTTCTATATTAACTTAACTTAACGAGTTAAAAAAAATAGTTAACTTGCCCAGCCTTGGATATGCGCGCCTACCGATTTAGATATTTCCATTTTACCGCCCGGCACTTTTGATAATTTAAGATAATTGTATAATCTATACTAATATACTATAATATACATTATATATTTATCTAGATTATAAATGTATTTCAGATCACATCATGATTCTTATAATAATTCAATATTGTATCCATTTAAAATAACCCAAATGTACATACTCAAAAATTATTTAATCTAATTAATAGAATGTGGTTGTATTAGTAACAGTGAAGTTTAGTTGTGCTGATCTAATAAGTGTACCGAGGTTTCGAGTGATACCTTTGTGCCACTTACTCCGCTCATCAAAGTTTAAATGTTCTTAACTAATTAATTATTATAGTTTGAATATTTGATATTAATATTATATTGAAACTATCAGAAAAATACTAATATATAAAGTAAAATGTTTTGTAGGTTAAAAAAAATTAAAAACACTTTTTGAGAAAGTTAGTGTTTAACTATAAAAGAATCCTATATAATATGATAGATGATGATCTACCAATCATACTCACAAGTCACAACACAATTTAACTACAATGCAACTACAAAATGTTCATCTAAACGAGCTATTATAGCCGCGTTAGGCCATACGATATCCAAATCTGGAGCCAAGCAAAACCGTCCTACATTCCGAACACAGGACGCATTCCAGGTGAATAGTTTACAGCTAGTTACCAGATTACCATATGGTACCTATAATATATGTAAAGCAAACTAAAGCAGCCTACACAATATGCACGTTGATAAAAACTAGCCCCCCCCAAAACCATAATAATAATACTTAGGTTTAAAATCGTTTGAACTTTAACAGCACCTGGACGTGTCGGGGGATGCCGGCTTGGACTCGGGCGAGGCGACCTTCTCCAGGCCGCGGGACAGCCGCAGCATTTCTGCACCGAACTGGTGCAGGGCCGACATGGTGGACGGCGTGGGCTCGGTGTCGGGTAGCCACAGCTCGCGGGCGTCCAGCGAAGTCATTTCCGTGTCGGTGGACCCGACCGACGGGTTGTGCCTGAACGGCCGCGGCGTGCCCCGACAACTCGTGCCCGGAGTCATCGGCCGGTGGTGGTGATCGCGATTGTTGTGACGGTGGTGGTGACCGGACCGCGGGCTGTCGTCCACGCTGTCCGCGGCCCCGCTATCGTCTTCGGCCGTGGCCGTGGACCGCGAACCCGAGGCCAGCGCACCGTTGCTGCCGCCGGGCCTCGTTGTGCCCGCTCCGGCCGTCGAATCGCCGTGACCCTTTTGCTTCCGACCGCCACCACCACCACCGCCCGTCGACGACGCCATCACGCTGGTCAGTTCTTCACCGGTCGCAGACCGGATGTCCGTCTCGTCTGACCGGGTCCTCCGGTAGTTTCGGCGCAACATACGTCGCCAGCTCCTCCTCGTATTGTCTGTGAACACCAAAGTAACAAAAATTAAAACATCTATCGGTTTATTGGTCATAGACGAATGGTTGTGTGTGGGTCGTGGGCGTTAATATACTGACTCGTTTTTCAGCCTAATGAATTATTCCAAATTGCCCGAGGTCGACTTTTTCGAGTTAACCGATATCGGTCCGAGTGTAAACCACGTCCGAGAAGTCCTAACACTTTGACTTTGTTCAAATATTTTGAAAATTATTATGCCCAGAGCCAGAGTTACCAAGTAGTTAGGTAAAATGTCCAAGTCTGCTTTTTTAGAAATTTACAAGTGACAATGTCGGTAGTATTCTGATATTTTTTACAAATCAGGACTCCAGGTAGCCATCAAATGTCGAGTACCCATTATAAAATGTCCTATTTACGGCAAGAGTTTGTAAGTCTTTTTCAAGAGTTTTAAATTTAGGTCCTCGGCCAGGTTCAGCTTTCGAAGTTATATATCTGGATTTTCAATGTAAACACGGATACTCCAAACTGGTTTTATAAATCACCCTTACTTATCTGGAAAAGGCAATACGATCTGAAGAACTTGAACACTTTTAAGCGATCAATAATTCCGTGCATCGAAGATTTATGCGTGATACGGTCGAACCACACAACGCACTAATGATAAATTCCTACTCAAGCCGCACTTAGAATGTTTTTTTGCTCCAACCGAATTCTTTAAAAAAAAAAAAAAAAACGGTAGGTACCCGGTGCGAGCTTATAATGCTAGTAAAAATAATTTAACCCGTTTTATTGATAATTCGACAGTAAAAATAATAAAATATAATCAAGATGCTATAATTTTACTGAATTCAAAATATTGTGTTTGTTGGAATATTTAAGTAAAGTGAACAATATTCATCCAACTTTTACCAGATTTACAAATATTTAGATTTATTTTTACCGTTACAACATTTTCCTGTGGCGATACTAACTTCATTATTTTCAAATGAGGACCACGTGTTGTCACTAACCATAGATTTTGTTGTCATCTTAAAAATGTACAAGAGACTCAGTAGATGATGTCGCTGTGAGTTTAAATAGGTGCTATTTTACTAATATTATATTATTGCTACACGATAATAATAATACACCATGAATGGTGATGTACTTAAAATTAATTTCTATCAAAGAATACGTCTCACGCTATAATAATTGTACGCTGGTCAAACTAATTCGTCGAAAGCGCTTTAGACTTAATATATTATTATGTCAGTACGTTTTTCAAAAAATTTAACTTTTATCTTTATGTCCACGAGTTTGGTGTACGTCGAAAGTGGTGTTTTTAATTGTACGAAAACTTTCAAAACGCAAAATAAAGTGGATTCAAGCTACAAACTATTCAGCCGGGTTAACATTTGATATATGATCCGACGTTGGACGATACACGTAAACTATTCACGTGGGGAATGCCTCTCATAGGTACTCGTATGAAACTATTCATATAAAAATATAATATTATATATGTATAATATACATTTTATATATTTGCTTATATGCCGGTCGAGGAATTATTGTTATCGTAAGATGACAAATCGACCGAATCACAAAAGAAGCAAACGACTATTGACGTCGCACAGTATATTATATTTGTAATATATAGTGTGATGACGTATATATAACAATAACACACTTACAACACATGGAGGCTGAGGCCAACTGTTAAAATAGCGATATTTTGTTGTTTTTTTTTTTATTTCAAAGGCCTATGAATGTGTTTACGTTCTTTCCCATGAACAAAAAAAAACACATTATTATTATCCAACTAAATACGTGGACACCGTATTGATTAGACATTAATAGAGAATAGAAAATAGTGGAGAGAAAAAGCTAGCCATTTCCGACGTAGGTATATGAAAAGAATCAGTTTTTGGAAGATAATTATATATATTCTTAACTGTTCTTAGAAAGTATTCAATCGATAATTTGTCTATCCAACGAATTTATTTGGTACTCTCAAGTATAAACGATTATTAAAAGCAAATAAAAATATAAAAGTATTATTCAAATATTTTTTGGTATGTATTTTACATATTAAAAAAAAAAAAAAGGTGGGTAAGTGGATGTCGCTCTGTTGTACTGTAGGTTACAAGTGGGTCACTGTATAATGGATGATATTAAATTTTAATGCAATGATATAATATCATTGTATTAGAAAAACGATTCTGAGCGGAGACGGTATGTCAGTCTAGGTATACGACATATTATATACTTTTCTATGGTATTAAATTATATGGAATTTATGAATAAATTCCTTAAAATATGCACAGTCTTATCATGAGCATAATTGTTATTCCTTATACTATGGTAGATTGTATGGATAGGCCATAATATTTTGATTTTTCAGTTTCATATATCCCCGAATAATATTTTTAAATTAGATCAAAAACAAAGATCGTTAATATTGATTTTAATATGTAATTTCGTGCAAATTTGAATTTAAAATGTCTGTAAAAATAACTGTGTTCATATATTTTTTAGATTTTTTGGTTACAGTATGAACTATTTATGAGAACCTTTGTTTTAAATTTGCAATCCTTAGCTATAAAAACTGAACATTTTATAATTTATTAATTACAATGATAGATAATTTTCGAGATTTTGATAAATGTTGTAAAAATTCGATCTTTAAATGCTTATAAAAAAAAATTGTGCCAATGTATATTTAAAATTTTTCAATTGCTATTGTAACAATATATCAGGAGCCTTGTATTAAATTTTTACACTTTTTGGCCCAACAGATAAAACTTTATTGATATTTATAGAAAAAAAAACTAAAAAAATTGAAAACTGAAAATGTCCGTAAACAGCTCAAAAAAAGTCAAAATATTTTCAAAATTGTACAGTGTATAGAAAATGCTAATATGAATATTCAGTGAAATTTTCATGTATCTACAGTTATTTGTTTTTGAATTACAACAAAATAAGGAAATCACTACATGAGAAATCGAGTGAATATCCAATGTTGTAAACATTTGAATTTCAAACGCTAATAAAAATTTAATTTGACTTTCCGGTAGAGATTTTTTTATTGATAAAGGTAGACAATCTTATGCGTAATCTTGTATTACATTTTCAAATCTTAGATTTAAAAAGAAAAATTTGTACGAATTCTTAACTCAAAATAATTTACTAATTTTCGTGATCTTTCCATATTTTGTCAATTTTTGAAATTTAAATGCTTATAAAAAAAAACTGTGACTAACGATTTTTAATATTTTTCATCTGCCTTTGAAACAATATACTAGGAGCCTTATATTAAATTTTCAAGTTTTTTTAACCAACAAATAAAATTTTATTGATATTTCTAGAAAAAAAACTAAAAAAAAATGAAAAATGAAAATGTCCCTAAACAGTTCAAAATAAATCAAAATATTTTGAAAATGTTATCGTGTATAGAAAATGCAAATATAAACAACCAGTGAAAATTTCCTGTATCTACTGTCTTTTGTTTTAAAGTTACACCAAAAACCAAAATCGATTTTCTCAAAAACAGATTTTGCGTAAAAATTCCCGTTTTTCCTTAATTTTTCTTTTGTTTTTCCCGGCGCTTTTGAAAACTACTGAGAAATTTAAATTTTGACCTCCGCAATGCACCAACGATATTTTCCAATCGAACAAGATACTGAAGTCGAAAATCGAAGCATTATTTCGACTACTTATCGTGTACACAGACACAAAAATAAAAAAATAAATAAAAAAATATAAAAACACACATCATTGTAAAATCAATACATTCATCGTTCCACTCAGAATCTAAAATGAAAAGTAAAATGAAAGTATTATTGCCACCTAAAAATAAAAACTATACAATGAAAAACGAGACTGAGGCATTTTTGATTTATACAAATATAATATTTAAATTATCAAAAAATAAATATGTATATATAGGATATACAATTGATTTCATTCCATTTGACTATATGTAATTTTTGGATTTCCACAGCACTCAACTTTGTGAACTACTAAAATAATATAATCTTTTATCCAAAAGTGAATAATTTAAATATATAATATATATTGTGGTGTTAATTTTTTTAAAAAGGTTTGTACCAAAACTAAGCACTCGATTGTCAACATATCCATTTTAATCTTTTTCATCATCGCCACCGATTTTTATCACATCAATAATTATAGGTAGTTGATGATTGTTCAGAAGAGCCACAATAATTTATAATAATATATTCGTCACTATTTTATTCATGGCGTTTTTCACATTAATCAGTATTTTTTCTGTTTAATTGACATTAAATCTTTATTGATTTCGTAAAATACACTTTTAAAAGATATTAAAATAAAAAAACATTCAAGTCATATAAAACTGCCAGGTAACAATTCAATTCAATTCAACTATAGTTCTTGGAAAATATGATCTCATACGAAGCAAATAATTTGATTAATCGCTGGTAATGTTCAGTGTCTGTGAGAAATAATGGTCGAATTGAAACGAAAAACACTTTTCACCAGTCACTGGGTCACCTTAAAAAAAAAAAATATTGTCTGAAAGAGATGTGTGATGGGGAAGGAACGTCCTGGATAGGTGATACAAATGAACGCTTTGTATACATTTTAGATTCTGAGTGAAACGATGAATGTATCGATTTTACAATTATGTATGTTTTTTTTTTTGTCTGTTATCACCTTTTAGGACAGTAAAAGTGCTTGGATTTTCTTCAACAATATCTTTTCTGATAGGAAAGTGAATCTAGTTGGTGCTTTGGGGGGTAAAAAGTAAAAATTTCCCAGTAGTTTTCAAAAGCGAAGGGAAAACCCAAAGAAAAATTAAGGAAAAACGGGAATTTTTAAAATATGTTTTCGAGAAAATCGATTTTGGTTTTTGGTGCAACTCTAAAACAAATGACCGTATAGATACAAGACATTTTTACGGACTGTTTATATTAACATTTTCTATACACTATGTCTTTTTTTTAAATATTTTGACTTATTTTGAGCTGTTTAGGGACATTTTCAGTTTCCAATTTTTTTAGAATTTTATTCTATAAATATCAATACAATATTATTTGTTGGGTAAAAAGCTTG